TTTTTTCCCCATTTTATTGTGAAAATTTCCCATGTACAGAAAAGTTGGAAGAACTTATCAGTGAACATCCATATACCACAACATAGATTAAACTATTAATAGTTTGCTATATTTACTTTTAAATTAAGTTAAATAAAATACAATTTCTGTTTTCATAAATTAAAAATGATATAATATTGGCAAAAATCACATGGTTCAACCTTATATCTTTCTATATTTTTTCTGGACTATTTGAAAATATAATGCAGACTTCATGATATTCACCTCTCAATACTTAAGCATCTCCTAAAAATCACGATATTTTTATCTATACATAAACATTATTATTACATCTAAGAAAGTGAATCTTAATGAAATTAATATCAATTAAGGAAATTCCATAAAATCTAATATATATATTCCAAAATTACATTTCTCTGGCAGTCCCTACAATGTGTTCTGTAGTGTAATTTCTGAACTAGGGAATACGATTCATACCTTGCATTTCGTTATTATGCCCCTTTGGTCTCATACACATTACTTCTAGGAGGGTTCTCAGCCCTGTGTCCGCTGTCTTCAGTGGATCTCTGAGAGCCCTGAGTGCTAATACACAATTGTGTGTTTGTGTTTGTGCGCACATGCATGTGTATGTTGGTGAATAGCTGTGCTATTTGAGGGGAAGAGAATCCGAGTGTTCATTAGATTCTCTGATGATACACCAAAGATTGAGAACTAGTGACATAAAAGTAGTAGAAGATCGGCCTGAAGAGAGAGAAAAAGCAAAACAGTATCACTGAGTGACAGTTAACCAGGAAGCTGGTTTGGAGGGAACTAGCATGACTTTAGATGTGTAATATAATTTTTTTGTCTCTAACTTGGGAATAATAACATTGGTCTGTCTACCTCAGCGGGATGATACATGTGAAAATTCTTTGCAGCTCAGAGATGGCTCAGAGACCATCAAAATCTATGTCAATGTTAGTTTCTACAATTATAGGGAATTCAAGTTTCTAAGACCTTTGCACTCTGACCTCTTCCCATGCTGCAGTGAGGAGAGAAAGCATGAAGTCATATGCTGGTATTTTGCATTTCTCCTTCTAGTCACACTCTGGGGGATGAAACCTGGACAGAAGACAAGGTCTGGGCTCATCTCTTGATTAATGTACCTGCACTTCCACACGTGGTTGCTCTTGCATTGTCTGGCTGAGGGCCCGCCTGACAGCTTGGTTGGACTGCCTAGAAATGGGATGGAATAGGAACAGCCCAAGACTTGTTACTTACTCCCAATGGAGCCCTTTCCCAGGGACTTAAGTTCCCTCTGTCCCCTTAGGAAGCTTGCACAAGTTACTTCAATATCCTTCCTATGGGAAATGGTAATCTTATTTTTCTATGCTTCTTCCAGAGACCCTGAAGTACTGATTATTTAGAAGGAAATTTGTGCCCAGGCCAGGCTGGTTGTGATGAAAGGACTAGAGTCAGGACCCAGCCTTCCTTGGTCAAGTATTTCAAGTGAGTAAGGTAAGAATGAGGAATGCCATGTGGGCCATGAGAACTGGAGCCCTCTCCTGATAAGACTGCCGTTGAAGGACAAAAGCTATAAAACCACAATGATCTCTATTTTAATGAAAACACCATCTTTATTGATAATAAGCTTAGGAAGATTTAGTTGTGTAAATTCCTAACAATACATCTTCCGAGTTCTATGCCAGCTTTTGTTCTCAAATGCCAGGTGTGGATTTCCCAGTGTAATATGTTTATGAGACGTGGCAAGTTTAAACATAACCATTTTACTATTGCTCACCTCTGAATTCTGTTTTATGTTTTCAAAACAGTTAAGATTTTTTAAAAGGTGTTAATTAATCTTTCAGTAGCTTTCTATTTAATAGCTAAGAACTTGACCAAGCTATGTGATCCTTATAAAACCATAAACTCTTTGGGAGTCAGTAAGAAGATGAAGTCCAACAGATGTGGGTTTGGATTAGCTGGTGACCTAATAGTTGGTAAGCTATTTAACATCTCTAAGCCTTGGTGTCCTCACTTGTAAAAAGGGGATTCAATATCCATTTGACATTTTGAGTGTTTACTATGTCCAGACACTGTTTTAGCCACCAAGGAAACAGGGTAAAAAAAAGACATGCTCCTTGATCTCATTGAACTTATCACAAGACATGGGTACTAAACAAAAGATCACATCATTAGGTAGTTAATTCCAATTGTAATAATAGCATCTACCTCAGCAGATGTTGTGAGGATTAAAAGTCAGACAAATTAAAAACTGGCATCATAATAATACTTATTAGTTTTGCTAACATTCCTAATTAGTATAAATGTGTGTTAGGTATTAGTCCTCCGTAATTGTTTGCATATACAGTTGACCTTTGAACAAGGGTTTGAATTGCAGGGGGCCACTTAGTATGTGGATGTTTTTTAATAAATATGTACAGTACTATAAATGTATTTTCTATTCCTTATGATTTTCTTTATAACATTTTCTTTTCTCTAGCTTACTTTATTATAAGAATACTGAATATAATACATATAACATACAAAATATGTGTCAATCAACTGGTTACGTCATCAGTAGGGCTTGTGGTCAACAGCAGGCTATCAGTAGTTAAGTTTTGAGGGAGTCAAAAGTTATATGTGGGTTCTCAGTACCCCTAATCCCCACATTGTTCAAGGGTCAACTATATTTAAGTGGTTAGAAGTAACAGCCATTACGTGACTTAGATGTGTTGTCCCTTATTGCCAGTGGGAAGGCAAGCATTCCTCTTTATGTTGGGGGCATGACCTTCCCAACCTAAGGAAAGAAGCTGAACTTGTTGCTAATTGCTGTTAGGAGGAACAGCGTAGCATTAATATTCACTAGACCCACGGTGCCTAACCTGTGGGCCCTGAGCCCCTAGGGGACTGGAGGGTGTGGGCACAAAGTTTTGTAAAGGGTCTCTGAATCATGATGTGCGCCAATCATTGTCCATAGAATGAAAACACATTTTACCCATATATGGACAGTACTATAATCTATGTAGGTGTCAATGTGATTAACACGGTAGAGAATCCTTTGAATGAATTAATGAAGCCTTACGTTACATCATTACATACTTCTCAATAAAATCTTATCTTACCTCTTCCTGGCTTGAACATTTAGCAGCTCCTCCACTGCTCTGGATAAAGTACAATCTCCCTCCCAGATACTGCAAGATTCTGCTGACTCCTCTTGGCATCTGCACCACTCCACCCTTGTCTGTGTACCAAGCTCTGACATGAAGGCTCCCCTAGGCCATGGCTTAGAGCCCTCAGCATTCAACACAATACCTGTTCTGGCATGAATAAATCCAAAGCTCCTGAGTGAGGAATCAATCCAAAAGAGCTCAAAACAGGAGGCTTTGTCTAGAAATAAATGACAAATATTTATTTAAGAGTTTTAGGATATGCCAATCAAAAATACTACATGTGGCCTGTCTGCTGTGGCTCGCTTGGGTGGAGCATCATCCCGTAAACTGAAATGTCACAGGTTTGAATCTGGTCAGGGCATGTGCTTAGGTTGTGGGTTCGGTCTCCAGTCAGGGCATGGACAAGAGGTAACCACTCGATGTTTCTCTCTCACATCAATATTTCTCTTCCTCTGTCTCTCCCTCCTTTCCCCTCTTTCTAAAATCAATAAGCATGTTCTCGGGTGAGGATAAAAAAAAAATCTGTTACAAATAAAAAAACAAACAAACACTACAGGTAATACCCAAGGTGTATCCAAGAAGAAAGAAAGGTTTGAGAGGTTTTGTGGGGTTTTTTTGTTTTGTTTTTTTTGAGGATAAATTCTAAGGTCAATTTTTATTTCTACCAAAAAAAGGCAGTCGAAACAATACAAAACGCATGTAAAGGATATTACTGAGTGAGCTTCAAATGGAGCTTGACTCCGCAAAGGCTGTGAGTCCAGAGGGAGAGGGAACGCCATCTGTTCCAGGGCTGGGCTGGCCTGGCCAGCTGCTTTGAAAGAAGAGGCCAGCAGGGTGCCAGGGACCCCAGACTCCTGCTGGCTGTAGTCCAGCCAACTCCAACCCCACAGAGGGTCAAACCGCCCTGAGGGAGGGCTGAGGGGCGTGCTGCACTAAGGAGGGAGAGCGAGCTCTGTGGCACGTTTGGTTGGAACTTGCGGGCAGGTGACCATGGCATTTCAAATGGACATTCTGACTTTAGCATTGTCTGCAATGACCAGCACATCTTCTAAAATGGCTGCAGGGAAGAGCACCAACCTTTGACCTCAGGAGCCTCTCTGATGAGAAATTCTTCGCATAAGAGCAGTGTCCTCTGGCTGGAAGCCCCTCCCCTGTGGTGACCACAGAACTGATATTGCAGGGTTTTCCCAAGCAGGTGGGTCAGGCTGGAGTTCAACACACAGACATAGGGTTGCCATTTAATTAATGTTATTGTGGTAACATTGGCCAGATTTTTACATAAGAGCTGGACCTCCCTCTTTACAACTTTTTTTGGGGGGAGGGGGCCATGGGACATAGGTTGCTTGCTTTTTAATTTTTGAAAAAGGATGTTATAAATCAGAACCAGGAGAATCTGAACAAACTCCCACACCGGGCAGTGCAACATGAGAGAAGAGAAGCCACCAGACTGGACAGAGCTGTCTCTTCTCCTTTGTGCAGGAAACAGGGCCTGGGTCTGGGGAAGTGAATGAGTGAAAAATAAACTGAATGTAAGAAAGTGGAAGTTGCAAGGGCAGGGGAAGAAATGGAACCACGATGTTTTATGTTGAACCTTACAGTCTAAATGTAAATTGAAGATTTTGGATAAATTTGGACCAAGAAAAGAAACACCATTATTTTAGAATAGATTGAAGCAGTAATTTTTGAAACAAAGAGAACAGAAGTAGGACATCTTACATTTTCAATCCTTTCTTTACAGATTACTTTCGATTACAAAAACTATAGAAAGTCAGTAACTGCCACAAGTGAACACCAGGCATTGGCACATGTCAGTTTTCTGGAGTCCTGCTTTGCGAGATGTCTGAATACACCGCTTGTGGTCTCTCCTCACACTCGCTGGAGTGAATCACAGCAGATTCTGGTCCACAACTCACTTTTCTCCATATTTCTTTGTAAACTCTTCAGCATTCTTACAGAATTTTTTACATTCCTTAGAGTATTCTTCAGCTAGGTCAGCCCAAAGTGGGTGCTCAGGCTGAGGGTCGTTCACCTGTCCTCTGAGGGACTGCATTATTTGGTTGGTTTTGGTTACTGCCTTCCAGTCTTCAGCACTAATTACTGGCAGACAGACCTGCCCTTTTTCGTTGATGTTGGGGTGATAGATCTTTGTTTTAAATGTGATCTTTGGCCATTTGAATGGATACTCTAATGGAAAGTTGATTTTGATTCTGAAGGTCCCCTTATCATATGAAGGGTTGTCAGGAACAATAAGCCTTTGCAAAGTCAATAAATTAACTTCATCACCCTGGATGTTACAGAAGTTTTGCATTCCACGTTTGTGGATTTCTTCAAGGTCCCTCATCAGCCTCCCGCTGGCTGCCATCTTGCATTTGGTGCTGCTGCCTTCCCCAGTTTGAGAGTTTTTATAGTTAAAAAAAAAACAATACACATTTGAGAAAAGTCTGCCCTGCATTCTTAGCCTTCTGATTGGCTCAGGATGGTAATCTTCCAAGTGTCCAGTGGTCTGCAGAATAGATGCTAGGTAGTCTGGAAAATGAAACATTGTTTCTTAAGCATATCAAGTGGTAATCTGTAAGAGATATATACATCAGTAGTACATGAACATTTTCTTCTTAAGTTCTTCAGAGGTTTACCTATGGAATTTAAGTACATCCAGGCGCTAAGGCATAACTGAGAAGTCCAAAAGTTTAAGGTGCTAAACTACATAAAGCAAGAATAATTTTCTTATGCCTCAGTCTACTGGATTTTAATAATTCATCAGCTTGACCACAGTAATTCCGTTTTACTTCTTTACTCTTTTCCTCAATAGCAACCCTGGCACCATACCATTTGAGGTAGGCATGGGTCTACTTGGGCGCTGGAAGCAGCAGGTCTCACCTTCATTCTCACCTAGATCCCCTCTCTCCCAGGCTTTTATTCTACTCTCTCTACCTCCCTCTTTCCCTCTGGGAGTCATCAAGGCCCAAAGACAATGAATATGAAAGACATGTACAAGGAATACAATATAAGCACAAATGTTAAAGAGACATACAGAAGAACAAAAGATGTATATTGGGCATTCCTAAGGTAGAAAACACAATAAATGGAACAGAAAAATATATTCACAGATGTTACAGAAAAAAACTTCCCAAAATAAAGATTTGAACCTACAGAAGGAAAGAACAGACCATATCCTAGGGGGGGAAATGATACAGATTCATCATAGCAAGGATTGCTAATTTTTCTTTGTATTTATCCTCTCTTCTTCCATAATAGTAGAATATTGTTAACTGGATATGTGGTCACTCAGAATGAAGACTATATTTCTGTTTTCTTTGCAGTTAGGTAGGATCATAGGACCAAGTTCTGTCCAATAGGATATGAGCCAAAGATTAGTATATGCAACTTCTGGGTATATCCTTAAAGGGAAGGAATGTTGTGCTCTTCCCTTCCTCTTTTCCCCTTCCTATTGTTCAGAAAATGCATCTTCATCTAGGTGGACAAGGACATCATCTTCGGGATGGTAGAGCAACAAAATAGAAAGAGCCTAAACCCCTACCAATTTCACTAGAACATTGCTGCAATGTCAGTTTATATCGTTAAATGAGAAACAAATACATTTCTGTCTTTCAAAGCCACTGTTTTTTGGGTCTGAATTTATATCCTAAATAATACACTGATTTAGGTAGATATTAGTGAAGTTGCTAAAATTCAGAGATAAAGAATTTTAAGTGTGTCCAAGCAGAAGAAGCAAGTCATGTACAAGAAATAAATGTCATTTAGCTTTAGGCAATCCCCAAAGCAACACTCAATGTCAGAAGGCATATCCTGAAAGATCTGTGGAGTCATGTCTAGAGCAGCAATTTTCAACTGGTGTGCCACAAAAACTTTTAAAACATGCAACACCTGACTATTTAGTCAGGGGCACTGACTTCTTTTCCCTTAGACTGTCAAATAAAAAAATGACAACAGCCAACATAACAATAGCCATCTGGTGTGAGTGAATCAAAATTATACCTATTATTTAGTCAAATCAGCAAAAAATGTATTTTTTGGTGTGCCACAGAACTTTAGTAACCAGTTTATATGTGCCATGAGATGAAAAAGGTTGAAAATCGTGGGTCTAGAGTAAATGTCTAAGGAGTAATGTCTATAAAGATCTGACCCAAGAATTTTTACCCAACTTGCACTTTAAGTATAAATAAATACACAGGCCCCATGCAAGAACCCATGAGACCTATATGAAAAAAACGCTACTTGATTCAAAATCTCACCAATAAAGGAATGGCTCCAAAAATAGGAATGAAGTCATAGTAAAAAACACCAGATCCATTTTAAAATAGAACCGACCAGACAACTGTGGGAATTGTGGTAAAATAATGGGATATAAATATTAACCTTTCCTGTGTCAAAATGATACAATCAACAAAATTAGAAGGAGAAGGCCACAGGAGAGGAAATTAAAGAAAGTAATTTCCTCATGTTTCTTGGCTGGAAGTTACTAGATATTGTCAAAAGTTGAAACATGTTGTTTTTAAAAATGACTCAAAACTTCCAATGTTTATCCTCTTAATGTTCTCTTAATTTTAAAGGGCTATTTTTAGTAAGCTGTATTTCTTGGCATCAAGAAATATTTTCTGAGCCCTGACCGGTGTGGCTCATTGGTTGAGCATCGTCCTGCAAAGTGAAAGGTCATTAGTTCAGTTCCCAGTCAGGGTATGCCTGGTTGTGGGCCTGGTTGCCTGTTGAGGCAAGTGCAAGAGGCAATCGACCCATGTTTCTCTCACACGTTGATGTTTCTCTCCTGCTCTTTCTCCCTCCCTTTCCCTCTTTCCAAAAATAAATAAGTAAAATCGTTTATTTAAAAAAAGAAATATTTACTGAAGTTCAAGAATTTGTTCATTTTTCATTCTGATAAATGTCATGCTTTTGTTTAAAAGAAAAGCCTGATCCCTTTTTTGGTAATGTTATTTGTAGGTATTTCCATTCTCTGTAAAATGATTTCCTTTCTTACCTACACACACAAACACATTTTTTTTTTTAAAAAAACTCTCATTCTTATCTGTATATTTGCATATAGAAACATCTGGAATGAATGTCCCTAAATGTCAACAGTGAATTGCCCTGAGTGGTGGAGTTGGAATCAAATTTATTTTTGTTTTTTACTTCTCTTTTTGGCAATTTTTGGCACACTTCAAATTTGTATAATACAGTAAAAGTTCAGTAACCAAGCATAGATCATTCTTGAAACATGCAAGATTGTTAGATTTTCTGGATTATTAGACTTCCTGAGTATCAGTGCTATTCCAAGGTACCATAATTCCACAAATATATTTGTAATGCACTCATTAATTTATTCTTTGCCTTAAGAATATAATGATTTAAGTGCTCTATACACTAAAAGAGTAAACTTTAGTTTATATTATAAATAAAATTGGCTTTTGTAAAAATACACGAATTCAATATTTGGAAACAGAATGTGCAGTGCAGAGTATGATTCAGTAGATTACAGTAGACACATTACTTGTGTGGAGCTAATTTGAAAAGTGAAAAAACTCCTTGCAGGAGTTTCATGTGCAGCATAGCCTCTATCTTTAAAGAGGAATATTTATTAAAAAATTTAGAAAACCTGTAACTTAAACTGAAATTTCCTTTTATTATCAAGAGCTTTTACAGCATGCATCATCATTTAACTTAAATTTCTATACTGTTCAAAAATTAACCAAAGTGGCCCTGCCCAGTGTGGCTCAGTTGGTTGGTGTGCCATCTTACAAAGCAAAAGGTCACCATTCCCGGTCAGGGCATATGCCTGGGTCACAGGCTCGATCCCAGCTGCACATGCAGAAGATGGCCAATTGTATTTCTCTCTCACACCAATGTCTGCCTCTCTCCCTTCCGTTCATCCTCTTGAATGAGAATAAAATAAACCTTAAAGAAAGAAACTCAACCGAAACAGTTTACTCAATAGTAAAAAGAAAATTCACTTATCCACCTAGTTATTTAACATATACCTTAAAACGACTGCAGTGCATATTAATGGCTGAATGGAACTCCATCCTATTAATTCACCTGACAATTTCTTAATTGTTAGACAATAAGAAAATTTCTAATTTTTTGCTAATATAAACAGTTTGCTTACAACCTTAATTATTTCTTTGAGATAGATTTCTAGAAGAATCACTGGGTCAAAGGAATATATATCCCCAAGTGTTTTATATTTATTGCCAAGGTGCCTTCCAGAAAGGCCGAGCCAGTTACACATTCTCACGTACAGTTCAGGAAAGTTCTTACCTGCTCATACCCTCACTAGCACACGGTGTTATTCTAGGCCAGATGGACTCTGAACATTCTTCTCAGATGCCTGAAGAAATACCTTCACTAACTAAAGACTTAGACTTTAACTTATACCCCTAGAGGCTGGCTGGTGGGGCAGGGCACTGGACCTTCTAAAGAAGCTTTGGTGCAACCCGGAGTCTAAGTGACTATTCCCAAATGGACAGATTTAGTCCTGATTCCCATGTTTTACTTTGCCACTCATCTCCATTTTCCCCCAGACTGCTTCTCAAAGTTGCCTCCACTTAGTGCATGATTGTACCTGACCCCATATTGTGTTTAAATGACTCAGTTAATCCGTACCCCTCCCTCCCAGACATGAGTTCATGAGGGCAGGAAGCACATTTGTCTTATCCACCACTGAATTTCCAGTGGTAGGACCTTGTTTAGGGAAGTGATAAAAGACACTAAGAATCAGAAGCCACTGAGGGGTTAACTAGACACCCAAGAGCCTGCTAGCTGTCTCTGCCTTATCCTCATTCTCCACATCAAACCTGTGATTAGCCAACTTTTGTCTCTCAAAACCATTCCCTCCTCCTTACTCCCATGGGCTCCCCTGCCTCGTTCAGATCCGTAACACTAATCACTTGAAAAGTCAGCCCGCCTCTTAGCCTGATGCTTTGCTTCCCACATCCTCTCTGCCTTAGTTCATTGTTTCTCTCATTTTATGTTTCTCTTTGGAACATAAAGATCTGATTCCATGATATCCTTGCTTATAAATCTTCAAGGATTCTCATTCATTCCAGAATCACCAACTCCCAGGGAATTTTTTGGGCCCTTCACCACATTATTTTGGCCTTATCTTCTACCAGGACTCCGACAATCCTATGTTAAGACATACAAAACTTATGAAAATTACCCATGAAGATCCCACCTGTTTATGCTTCTCTTTGTGCATGCTCCAGCCTGCACATGAAATGCTTTTGCCTGTGCTCTGCATTTCTATTCTGTTTAAGTCTCAACTCAATGGTCACCTTATCTATGACTCTTCCCCTGTCTCTAGACAAAACTCATTGCTACCTCATTTCTTCTCCTACATTCTTTGTTCATATGTTTCAACATGTTTTTCTC